TGGCAGTGTGTTTGGTATTATACTGGTGATTTGTGATATCTCTATCAAGATGTAATAGCGACAATATGCTTGGAAAGCATACTTCTGGAAAAAATATTGGGTAGCTGAAGTTTGATATTTACTGATCTGATTCATTCTTTATTTCCATGCATCAAATATGAAGTGATCCTTTGAATAGATAAAAATTGTGCATGTTTTATTTTGATATTCATTTTAGTTGGCTTGTGTGATTTTTAAAACATGATAAATAAAGAGTCAGAAAAATTGTACCTTCTAAGTACAAAGATGGTGATAGTTCAAAAGTGATACTTCGTCATGAAGTCCTACCGATGGCCCACGGATTACTCATATGAAATGAATGATTGAAAAGTCAAGAATCGATTAAAATGTAAAAAGGGCATGATCATGAAAGTTAGTAAAGGAATTCGATATATCTTCAAGATCAGTTAAACGATTATGAAACGAGAATCTAGAACTTCGACCATCGAAGCGGTGAATCGAAGCATGACTCTCTGATACTCACAAGAGCAAAAGAATTATGTTTGCAAATTGGATACATAATAATTTTCTGAAAGAACAAACAATGCAAGTTCAATGAAGGAACTTTTGATCATGAATGTTACATTAAGGAATTCTTAATCAATGGCTAAATAGTATGGTGATGAAATATTTGGAAACGACTACTCACTGACAGAACGATGCGTAGCGACGCATACAGCATTTATGATAACACTGTTGGAAGGACAACTTGCCGAACTCCATTGAGAAAGATGTTTGACCGACAGATCGTTTTGTTCTGAATCCTTTGGATTATTTTATATTGGAATGAATTAGTGCAACTAATGGAATGGGAGAAAGAGTTCATTTAAAAAGAGTTTGATTGTTAAATTGAAACGTGGGATTTGAGAAAATAGATAAGAAGCTGTCTTAGAAAGTTGTGCTAGTCGGACTTATCGTTTGTCAAAAATATTTGCGATTATTCACATAAAACACTGTATTGTGTAGAGAATTTTACGGGGCGTCATTAGAAGAAAAATATAGTCCAGTAGGATAATATTTTAACGTGCGAATAGTATTAATTCGACTACTAGGTTTCTATAGAAACTTCTATTTACAAATGCTTCTTCTGCATGCTGATATTAGAATCGATATCGATCAAATGTAGTATCTTGTTTAAGTTATTCCAATAATCATTGAAGCCATCTGATTAGAAGAAAAAACCTTTAGCAGGATTTAAGCTAGTTGAAAGAAGAAAATATTTTTTTCGATGTAGAAAACTTTGGAAAATTCAAGGTAGAAATTGATATTTTTTTCACAACTTTTAGGAAAATAAATATAAATTTTGATTTAAATTATATTTTCCTTTGTAATAATTCATTTTCATCCATGGTTAATCATATGTCATCGATTAAAGTCGTTTTTCCTTTTGAAACTGCGGTTAACCTGATGTGAATAACATTAGTTTTAATAATCGATAGGGTGCAAATTTGTCATTCGATGATATTTAATGAAAACTAATCAACGCCAATATCTATATTCCCTCAAATCCTGTTATTCCCATCTTTCTCTATTGTGTACACGTGAAAAAGGTTCGTTTCGTATATGTTTTAACTCTCACTTTGTCTCACATGCGTATAAATGCTCAAAAATTCGAAATTCAATACGTGTTCTAATACATATCAAGATGATTGGGA